ATTTCTGGTGAGACCTACAGACCTATTAATATCTATACCAAGTGGAAGCAATATTATCAGGCACTGACAAAACAGAAAAGCTATGCCTTCTATGCACAAGGACTTTAAAGTCTGGTAGTGAGGCAGGAGATTAGGGCACAGCAAAACGGCCGAATAATTGGGCGTGACCAGCCAGCTGTGGAGACCTGGGAACCAGAGATGGGCACAGAGCACAGCCACCCTCCCTCCGCGGGGCACGCTGCTTCTCCTGCTCTACCTGGCCCATGCTCACTCTGCACAACCTTCTTTTTCCGAGTGCTTCTTTTTCTTCTTCTTTTGCGCTAAGTAAACTTTCCTTTTCACTGGTTGTTCCACCCAATTCTTCGAGTAAGGCAAGGAGAGCCGGGAAAGGGCTGGTAGTCACCACAACACCTGGTCACAGTGTGAGGGAGTGAGTATGTGCAGAGATAGCGACAATGTACTGCGCAAGTAACCAGCGCTACTGAGGAAAGGGCTGAGCCACCGGCCTCACTAATCCCTAGGCCCCTTGACCCCGGCCCCCACAGGGCAACCTTCTAAGTTGCTCCCTTCGCCTGGCCCTCTGCTCCTCCACGGGGAAGAACAGCTCAGCTCATGCTGACAACCCGAGGGCCACTAAGGAGGCGGAGGAGGCAGAGGAAACACTCACTGGTGGCCTTGGGTGTGGACTAGTGCTGCTCGCTCTCCACTCCTCTAGAGAAAGGCCTGGCCTGCAATGCCCACACCCTGCACTGCGTCTCCAGCGCTGGGTCTCACGGCAGGGGTGCGGCCAGGGGCCACACAGCAGGCGGGCCCTACACAGCCAGTGGGCTGCGGAGCAGCTAGGAATTGGCTCTGCATTCCGGCTCTTCTCCAGCGTACTTTTCTGAAGGGAAGAAGTTGTAGGAAACCAAACCACATTGTCCAACCCAGGTATTAAGAAAAAAGGGCAAAAAAGTTAATACTATTTTATCGTTTTAAAAATAAAAATAGATGACTTTGTGTGTTCTCAATTTATTCAGAGCTCAGAGGCAGAGGAGTCTCTGAATGGTACTCCAAAGGCTAATAAGCGCCAGCACGGAGGAACAGGGGTGAGGGGCTCCCTCTGGCTTGAACTGCAAACGCATGAAGGAGCAGCTCTGGATGAAGGCGTGTTCTCCAAGCAAGGAAAGAAAGCAGAAGTTCAGAGCGTGCTGGGCCAGGCAAGGGAACAGCACCAGTAGAATCAAAGAGGAAAACTTACTGAACACCCCGAGTTGATTACACAACTACACTCTTAAGGAAAAAATTTCAGCCCAGGAAGAGATTTTGTTCCACTTGGCTAGAGTGTGGGCGAAACAGAAAAAAACAAATAAAAATAAAAAGGTCAGAAAGTTAGTCTCCTCAGTGGGAGTGGCAAATTGAGAGTTGTCTGCCAAGAAGGCAACGGCAGCTCCGGGACAGCTGCAGACGCAGCGGAGAGAAGGCCTGCAGGAGCCCAAGCAGGAGGCCAGGGCACCGAGCACAGACACCAGGCACACAGGCAAGGGACAGTGACCACCCGGGAGGCGGAATGGTCACCGAAGGGTGGGATGCCTGGCCCAAGGGAACAAAGCCGCTACTGTATCAGTTTGTTTTCTTCCACACATGGCAGAGCAGGGATCAAGGAAAGTCAACACTTACCTACATCTAGAAGAAGCACTTTCCCAAACCTTCCAGATGTTATCTATTTTTCTAGCACAGACAAAAAGTAGATTTAAGAGCCAAGTTTACTTTCCCAAATAAATAAATTTAAACAAGGTCCAAATATCTTGTTTCCATCAATGCAAGTATATTTTACTACTAGAAACCAAATGACAAAAACCAAATGAATCTTCAGGATGAAAACGAATGCTGTGTGGGAACACGGCTGAACAGACGCGCTGGAAGGCAAGTCATGGGCAGGTTACTCCGTCTAGCTGAAGTCCCGAGGGTCTGAAGCCAGATGGAAACGTGCTGCCCTCTAGTGACGCCAACTCCTCACAGCTAACGTGGCCTTAGCAGCCAGTGAGGGAAATGAACGCTCGTTACTAGAAAACTAACTAGTCTTCATTTATTTGTGGCTGACCATAAGAAAAGGAATGGAACAAATAATTACCGGGTAAGCCAGGAGTAAAGTTTTGGTGCACAAGAGCTTAGAAATATATCTAACAATCATTCACTAATTCAGGATGGTTAAGGAAATGCCAACAAAGAACAGGGTAACAAAATGAATTACAAAATATGGAATGTTTACATTTTATGGGAAGAATTCATTCCTTAAGACCTAACTCATGTAAAAAAAAATTTTGTTTTAAAGACAAGCTCTTGCTTTGTAGTAGCCCAAGCTGGCCTTGAATTCACTGTGTAGCCCAAGCTGGCATTGAATTTGCGGTGATCCTCCTGCCTCAGCCTCCTGACTGCTGGGATTACAGGCATGCGCCACCATGCCTGGCTTCTTCAAACATATTTTTAATGTACAATAAATTATTTGGCAGTCTGTCAAGCTCTTAGAAAAAAATTTAATTTCATCAAATCAGACAAAGCAGATTTTAAAGCAAAAAAGTACTGAGTGAGATCAGTATTTATTTTTGTTGTTTTGAGACAAGGTCTCGCTGTGCAGTTCAGCTGGTCTCAAACTCAGTCATCCTCCTGCCTCAGCCTGCATGCACCACGATGCCCACTTCAATACTTAGTTTAAATTCAACCTTAAGCCTGTTAAGGCATTAGTTAGGCTCCCTTGATTTAGGACTACTAACTATAAGCTGCCTCTCAGAAACGTAAATGTATAAAATGAATTTGGGCTTAGGGTATGAGAAAAGTTAACTGAGTTTTAAGCCACTTTGATTAACTTCAAGTAACAGATAGAGCTACTCCTGCCCTAGAATCTTGGCCAGAGTCAGCTCTTTCAGTGCAAAAATTCAAACATGGAAACCTACAATAACCAAACAATCCTGAGAAGGAAAAACCAGAACAGCTTGATGTCACCGGGAACCTCCGGGCAGTCGGAGGCCGAGGCACCGTGAGGCCGCAGGGAAAGCAAGCAGCTGGCGGCCAGGGACCACAAGTAAGAAGCGGGCAGGGCAGGCACGCACTCCACACCTGGGCTAACCAAACGTGTGGGCTGCATACGGGTCCCATTCTAAAACTCCCATCTATCAGCGTTCCAAATTGATGGTGATCTCCTCAGAAACAACCTGAAGACCCTCAAAATGAAGCCCTCGGCACCGAGGTGCTCTTGTCCAGAAGCAACGTGAACCTAAGCAGAGGCTCTGGGGTAGCAGCCAGGAAACCCGGATATCCTGAAAAACCAAAGACGGACGGTGCCAGTCTCCGAGAGGTCACAGAAGAAAAGAAACTCAGGGCATGCGCAACAGAACCAAACCCCAGACCCGCATCCCAGGACTAGAGAAGAGCTCCTCGAGCTCCTCAGCACGAGGCTGAGGAGACCGCACACAGCGATCAGCACAGTGCAGGCAGAGCACTCCTAGAGGAGGACGGGAAACCTCAGGCCCTCTGCGCTCTCCTGATTTCCAGTGTTTTCTCCTTCTTTTTCTCTGTGCCTCTCCCTGCCACTTTCCTATTTTTTCCAACTGTGCCACTGTACATGTCTCTTAAAAATTCTTGTTTTTATTCTAATGAAAATTTAAAAAGAAATTATACAAAAATAAAGTTTTTAATTATACTTTTTTTTTTTTTTTGAGACAAAGTTTTGCTATGTAGCCCAGGCTGGCCTTAAACTTTCTATGCAGTCTCAGCTGACCTCAAATGTGAGATGCTCCTATCTCATCTTCCTGCGTGCTGGGATTGCAGGAAATTATACTTTTTGACATGAATATTACCAACCTTTTTTTCCCCGGTCTGAAATCTAGATATATTAAAGCATTATGCCTATGAATAATGAGAGAAACTATTAAAAATACTTGTCACACAAATAATATTTGGTGACAATAATATTATGAGAAAGCAAAGATCGAAGTTCACAGAAAGTATATTAAGTGTAGCAGCACACTCAGTAGGATGAGGCAGGAGAGGTGCCCAAAGTTCGAGGCCAGCCTGGGCTACATAGTGAGTTCAAGGCCTGCCCGAACTACACAACGAGACCTTGTCTCAAAAAAAAAAAAAAAAGGAGGGGCTGGGGATTTAGCTCAGCGGCAAAAGCGCCTGCCTGGCAAGCGCAAGGTCGTGAGTTCGGTTCCCGGTATCGGAGAAAAACCAAAAAAAAAAAAAAAAAGGAAAAGAAAAGAAAAGAAAATATTTGAGACAGGATCTCGAGAAACTGATCAGCTTAGCCTCAAACTTGTGATCCTCTTGCCTTAGTCTCCCACATAGAGCTAGGATTATAGGCTGAGGCCACTACGTTCAGCTAGATTTAAACTATTTTTGATTAAAAAAATATGATTTTTGTCTTATTTCACTCTTTGGGGATATTTACAGAAGTTGAAGAACAATTTTAGTTATTCCGGTGGGGCTGGGGATTTAGCTCAGCGGCAAAAGCGCCTGCCTGGCAAGTGCAAGGTCGTGAGTTCGGTTCCCGGTACCAGAGAAAAACCAAAAAACACACACACACACAATTTTAGTTATTCCTTTCTTTTAAGCCTTTGAAAGGGAAGGAGAATTAAGATGTGTTATGCACAGGTACCAACTTCCCATGTGTAACCATTACAAACTGCAGCCATACACTAATAAAAATATTTTTTAAAAGATTTCATTGAAGAAGTTTCTCTTTAAAATAGGAAACAAAAATAACAGTATATAAGCAAGGTGTGGTGGCACACACTTGTAATCCCAGCACTCAGGAGGCTGAGGCAGCAGGATCACCGTGCGTGTGAAGCTGGCCTGGGCTACCTAGTGTGACCCTGCCTCAAAAAGCCAAAAAAAGCAGCAGCAAGATATATCACGTACAGGTACAAGTTCCCCGTCATGAATGTGAGCACTATGTATATCTAAAATGTACCAACAGAATTTTTTAAAGCCACAAAAATAAATAAATAAATCCATCTCACCAGTGTCATTGGCAAGGGAATCAGGACCAGATCCTCCCAGGGTGGCTTTAAACTCCTCCTGAAGACGATATGCTCTTTGCAGGAGAGCTTCAAGTTTATGGATGAATTCAGTACTGATAATGTCCTACAAAGAGAAGAAGAATGTATAACAATATTAAAAGTCTAAACAGAAAGTTTATTTTTAAGTAAAAGACAGGGAAAGAGAAGGACATAAAAATCTACCGTTAGGCAGCAGAAAAAATATCACAATGGAAGTTATAAGATTTGGGTTCTAGCTGTCCCTTTGGCAAAATGATTTCAGGTCTCAGGGTTTCAGTTTATCTGGAAATTAAGGGCCAGGCTAGCCCAGGGCTTCTCAGAGGAAGGTCCCGGGGCCAGCAGCACCACTGTCATCTCGGGACAGATTAGCAATGCCAGCACACCCTAACGAATTACAGACCTGGATGCGGGGCCCCTAAACCCATTTCAGCAAGCCCTCCAGGTGATTCTGATGCATTCCCACTGTTCTAGCACCAATAATAACTTTATACTCCTTATTTCCCATTACTTTAAGTAGAATCTTAATTTCCCAAAATATTCCAGGCCTACAGTTCTAGTCCCCCAAAACTCAACTGGCAAGAATTAGTCCACTGAAACAATCAGTAAGGACTAGTCCAGTTCTTCCTCTCTGTGACTTCTATGAATATCACCACACTTAAGCAAACCCAAAGCACAAAACAGGTTCTTCAAAACTTCGCAAGGCTGGGCACAGTGGCATACACCTCGAACCCCAGCTACTTGGCAGACTAAGGCAGGGAGATACCAAGTTCAAAGCCAGCCTGGGCAGCAAGGTCCTGGGGAGAGGGGATTGAAGATACAGTTTAGTGGTCTTTGGGCTCAATCCCAAGCACTGAAAACAACTTCCTAGAATACATACAATAAGTGGGTACGATGAATGATAACTAACTGAACAGAAAGCACCCAATAATTCCTTCGCATAGTCCAAAGGGAGATAAAAAAGAGAAGTTCTATTAAATGTCGGAGGGATCAAGGACGCTACATTAACACTGAAGATACTTCAACTCTTCCAGTAAGAACCCGCTCTCCAGTAAACCCCTTACATCTACGCTCTCCTCAGCAATGGCATCTCCTGCACCCAGCTTAATGGAGCCGCAGGCGTCGTCCTCAGCCTGTCTGCTGCGGAAGGTGAGCGCTTGCTCCCATCGGCGCAGGGCCTCTTCGAACAGTTCCATACCTAGGAAGTGAGGGCAGAGCAGTCACAGATGAAGAAAAGCACGCCAAAATAAGGTTGTGTGGAGGCTGGGGTGTTCTCCTGTAGCATCAGTAACAGCACAGTCTCCCTGTGATTTTGGCACCAAATAATGACTTTTTACTCGTTATGTCACATTACCTTAAGTCGAATCTTAACTTTCCAAAGTATCCTGGGCCTACAGTTCCAGTCCACCAAAACTCAAGAGAGAAAATGGTCAATGTGTCTTCTTTCTTATTTTTAAAAAATAACTCAGATGCGGCAGGGCGTGCGGTGGCATAGCCCTGTAATCCAAGCACTCAGGAGGCTGAGGCAGGAGGATTGTCCCAAGTTTAAGGCCAACCTGGGCTACACAGTGAGTTCACGGGCAGCCTGAACTACAGAGTGAGACCCTATCTCAAAAAACCAAAGCAAAGCAAAAGAAACAAACACAAAACTCCCCTCAAATACACACGGTACTTAGAATTTTTCTAGAACATTATTAATTCATCAGAAGGTCAACATTAATGGTTAATTTTTATAGTCATACAACTATATTTCAAAATATCCCTCTAAATAGAAAAAAACTACTTTACAACTTCTATCAGGCTTGTAAATTCTCAGAAAGGAACAGTAAACCTGAGAGAAAGCAGCATAAAAGTCCAAAATGAACTGTTTACCGCCAGGTATGATGGTGCATGCCTGTAATCCCAGCACTCAGGAGGCTGAGGTAGGATGTCTGTGAGTTTGAGACTGGGTTACATAACGAGTGAGTTCAAAGCCAGCTGGAGCTACATAATAAGACCTTTCTCAAAAAATGCCTTTACCATATTTTTCCCCAAATGGTGTCCTAAACCATTATCTCATGTTGCTGATTTAGATGGATAAACTGGTTAGTAAGAATTAAAATTCTGCAAGATACTCATAAAGGGTTGGCTACGGTCCAAGCAGGAATTTCACTTCCTTCCTTACAGAAAATTTTTATGGGAGATAAAACAGTGACTACCTCTTTTACCTGCAAGTGAAAAAACAAAGGCTTATCAAAATAATTACGTACTTCAAAAAAAAATCAAAATATAGTAAAACTTCAAATTTTGTACACATATAAAAGAAAAAGGTCTTTAAAAAGCTGCTCAAGAATCCAGACAAGCCGGACACAGTGGCGCAGCACCATAAGCCAGACATGGTGACACACACACTCCCAGCACAAGGGAGGCTGAGGCAGGGGGACTGCTGTGAGTTCAAGACCAGCCTGCGTTACACAGCGAGACCCTGTCTCAAAAAAAAAAAAAAATCCACACGAGACATTCTCAATAGATTTTTAGGAAATAGTATGTGAAAAATACCTCTACTCTAAAGTCATTATTTCTTCAATTATCTGTAGAATCTAGGACCCTAAACAGAATCTTCAAGTGTAATGTAGGCTTTTCCTTCTTGTTGATTTTCTGTGGCAAAGAACATCCTTTCAATTTTCATCCTAAAAATTTATGCTTTTACAAAACAATTACACACATTATTCTATTAAAAAAACAATGCTATCCACCCTCCTTTCTGCCCTAAGTCCAATGCCTTCATCCTTTCTTTTCTTACTATCTTCTCTATCCATCCAGTTACTAAGGATGAGCACAGGAAGAATTACCTAACAGCGGACTTGTGCAAAGATAAAAGCTGCTTCCTTAGGAAGTATACAGAGCACGACTCAGACTACCACGTAAGAGATGAGTGATGCGTATAATGACCCACAGGGCTCCTACCCACAGACTGCTTTACGTATCTAGGGGACCCTAATTCCAATTACCAGTGTCCTCATGAAAGAGGTGCAGGGATATTGGACATGCACAGAGGAGAACATGCTGCGAAAACCAACACAGAGACGGAGTGATGAGGCCACAAGACAAGGGATGGTGGCAGCCACCAGCAGACGGAAGAGGCAAGAAATGCCTCCTCCCCTCCCCTCCAAAGGAACAGGCGACATACAAACAGAGGTACTGACGCCTGGTTCTAGCTCAGTCACAACGAGCTCATACTTCTGGCCTCCCAAACTCTGAGTGAATAAATTTTTGCTGTTTGAAGCCACCGCATTTATAGTAATTTGTTACAGCACTCTAGGAAAACTAATACAATTTGTATTACATTACATACTATGCAGCCTGATTCAACAGACATGAAAACCATTTAAAATCACAGTTGTTTTTCTTAGAACTCACTTTTTTTACTTTCAAATTAAATATGAGCACAGTATTTAAAATTTTATCACCGTGTTCCTACCCATTAAGTACAAGTTCTCAGGAGTGGTCACAGGAATATTAACAAGTTTAACATCATCTTCATCCGCTTTGTCCCAGGAGTTAGAATTGCCACAAGCACAGCTGTGACAAGAATTGACACTCTGCACCTAAAATTAAGATTGACAGGTGTTATTTCACAGTTTCTCTTAGTGTGTTGTAATCTTTCATATTTACCACTTATATAAATCCTACTCCTAGTAAAACAGCCCATGTGATTTCTACCTTACGTAATCCTGATTCCATTCAAGTTAAGATGCCTATGACCCCAAGTATTCCAAGTCCCGTCTGTTCACAAGTACACAAGTAGAACAGTATTTGAACATAAACTGGATTTTGCATCAAAAATCAGGCAGTTATAGTATTACCTAGTTTATTCTGCTTTTAGAACTTTTTTCCCTTTTCTTCGGCGGAGGGGGTGCGGGAATCTTTAAAACAGGATCTCACTTTGTAGCCCAACCTGGCCCCAAATTCGCAACACTGCTGCCTCAGCTTCCTGAGTGCTGGGATTCCAGGCATGTGTGCCGCCACACCTGGCTATGGTCTGAGAACTTCTGTCCATGCTGCCTCCGCTAAGTGGTAAGTAAAAGCGTCTGTCATACGAGTCCTTCCCTAGCAGGGCCCGCTACACCAATCATTTCAATCACCTCGATGCAGACCACTACCAAACCCTTAATTTCAGTTATGTTATCTTTTTTTTTCCCAGTTATGTTTTCTTTTGGGAAACCTAGAACCACACTTCATTTGCTACGGGTACTCCCACTCTGCTCTTCCACTGGCCTCTCACAGTGACTCTGCATAAAAGGACCTCAGCTTCTTCCCACAGGAAAACCCCTCCTCTCAAGCGCACTTAACGAGACTCCCGCTTCCATAATTTCGCAAAAACAGAAGTCATCTTCCACATATGTCTTCTCACATCTTTTTTGTTTGTTTTATTTTTGTTTTTTTGAGACAGGGTCTCACTACGTAGTTCAGGTTGGCCTTAAATTCACTATGTAGCCCAGGCTGGCCTTGAACTTGCAGCAATCCTCCTGCTTCAGCCTCCCAAGTACTGGGATAACGGGCGTGAGCCACCATAGCTGGCTCTTCCGACATCCTTCAGACCCAGTTACCAAATGTTATGGGCCACGTTCCCTCCTTAGTATTGCTGCTGTCATGACCCTAATGTAGGCATCTATGGTACTGCCTGAGAGGGAAAAAACAGGGCCTGAGGGGCTGGGGATTTAGCTCAGCGGCAAAAGCGCCTGCCTGGCAAGCGCAAGGTCGGGAGTTCGGTTCCCGGTACCGGAGAAAAACCAAAAAAAAAAAAAAAAAAAAAAAAAACAGGGCCTGGTGGTACACACCTGGGATCCCAGCACTCAGGAGGTTGAGGCAGGAGGATGCAAATTCCAGGCCAGCCTGTGCTACACAGTGAGTTCAAGGCCAACCTGAAGTAGGTAGCAAGACCGTCTCAAACAAACAACAAAAACCAGCTTCAACTTTCAATTGAGAATATTCTAAACAGGCAGCACTCTGACTCTGAGGAAACCTAGATTACAGACTAGGTATATTCTTCATTATTCTGCTCAGTTTCACAGAACTGAAGTCTGCAGACCTTTACCTAGTGTTCTTGCCCCGGAAGAGCCTTGAAAATTTTAGTACATTTCTGATGGACATGGCGGCATACGGTTATAGCCCCAGCTACTCTGGAGGCTGAAATGGGAGCATAAGTTAAACCCAGGAGTGCGGGGCTGGGAATACAGCTCAGCAGCACAGCGCCTGCCTGGCAAGAGCAAGGTCCTGAGGGGCTGGGGATTTAGCTCAGCGGCAAAGCGCCTGCCTGGCAAGCACAAGGTCTTGAGTTCAGTTCCCGGTACCGGAAAAACAAAACAAAACAAAAAGAAAGAGCAAGGTCCTGAGCTCGATTCCTGGCACCAAAAAACCTCCCCAGAAAACCTAGGAGTTCAGGACAAGCCTGGACAACATAGTGAGACCCCATTTCTTTTTTTTTTGAGACCCCATTTCTTTAACTAAGAAAAAAAAGATGAAGTACATTTTTAGGTATTACAGGATGGCCAGCTATGTATTCCAGTGAAATACAGAAGCAAAGTACATAACAGAGTATGGTATTATGCAAACTAGCAGGAGAAGTGAACACACATGCTGACAGAGGCATGTGCTGTACTTTCTAGAAATATACATAAGAAATTGTTGACATTCATCTCCACGGAGCAGGACTGAGTGGATGGAGAAAACGTTTTTCACTGCGTATAGTCTTACCTGTTCTGTACTAAGGGGCAAGTGCATTCCCTACCTACTTTTATAATTAATTAGACTCCATTAGCCTTAAACAAATACAAACTTCCTTCCTCACTTGTCAGTCAATATTCTAGTGAGACTGAAGAAGCAGGGAGGCCTCTAGCTCACTAATTACTACCTGGAGAATGCAGCAAAGGAGCTGGGGAGCCCACGCAGCCTCACAGCCTGAGTGCAGCTCTGGCTGCACCAGCGAGCTGCTCACACAGACCCCGTCTGGAAGCAGCGCTCCCGCATCAAAGCTGCCTCCTAGGACTCTGTGGACTCTATCACTCACTCAGAGACACTTGGAACCATCGGCAAAAGGACGCTTATTCACCTGAAGAACAAACTCAACCATATGCTTTCTTTCTTTTTTTTTTTCGTGACAGGGTCTCGCTCTACAGTTCAGGCTGGCCTTGAGCTCACTTTGTAGCCCAAGCTGGCCTCGAACTCGCAATGATCCTCCTACCTCAACCTCCCAAGGGCTGGGATTACAGGCGTGCGCCACCATGCCCTGCTCAACCATATGTTTTCTTAAGGTTCTTTCTGTACCAAGAGTTATGTGTGTGACGCTTAAGCTAATAAGTAACAACAGATAAATAAACATAAGAAAAACAGTAATATATTTTTTACTTACAGAGCCCAAACTCTGTGCAGAACCTGAGTATTTACTGAAAAGTCCTCCATTGGCATAGTTACAAGACTGAGATCCTTTGTCTTTGGTGGAACTTAAAGACAGTGTCAAATTCTGTCTACTGCTGGAACAACTTGAACCTATTAAACAAACACATTCATATTAAAAGTATGAATAATTCCAGTGAAAATTTTCACACAAAACTACAAGTTTATATTATATTCATTCAGGAAGCTTCTAATTTTTAAAATAACTTCTTCCAATTGCGTAATTATTAAATACAACACTAAACCCACATCTCCTGTTTTTAACACTGAAAATTCCCTCTGCAATGAGGAGTAAAGCAGTCACCTGACTAACCAGAATGGTTCGCAATGGTCTTCATAATCAACATAAATGTACTGACAACCATGAACTTTCAAATTATACATTTAAAATATAAGCACTTCTTTTCCTGAAATACATCTAAACCGTATCCACACTGCATTACACTGTAATTGCAGCATAAGGGAGGCTGAGGCAGGAGGACAGCCGTGAGTTTGAGGCCAGTCTGAGCTACACAGTAAGTTCAAGGCCAACCTAAACTACGTAGCAAGACTCTGTCTCAAAAAAAGAAAAAAAACTATAAATTTATTTCCATATGTCAAATTTTGTTCAGTATGATTAATATATCAAAGTGATTCAACTACCAAATTTATTTTAATATGATACTTAAGTATAAATAGAAAGCAACAGATATGTATATCAAAAGTTGCACCTTGACACCATACTCTTAAGTCAAATAAGAATCTGTAGACCTTTACCTAATGTATGTAAACACATGTTTAAATATACTGTCTCTCTGGTATGAAAAACCAAAAGTATAAATAAGGACCAAAATGTATAATAGATACTGGGAAATGGAAAGAAAATGTTCAAATGGGGAGGGAGGGGAGCAAAGGAAAGAAGGGGCAAGAAAAAAAAAACAAGGAAAAACTGGAAACAAAGCTTTTGTAAATAAGGAGAGGAAGAGGGGTGGAAGGGAAGGGAGAATGGGAAAAAAAGCAGCAAGATATATCATGTGATGAATTCCCTATGATGAATGTCATCATGTATATCTAAAATGTACCAATAAAATTTTTACAATGCAAAAAAATTTATATATATATATATATAGTATTATCAGGAGTTATTTCCCAGCAGAATTTCAAATTATTTTTTGTTGACTTACCTGTTATGTGCTAATCTTTCTAAAATATATCTGTTATGGGTTTTTGGTTTTGATATTGCTTTCTTTTTGCAGTACTAGGGATTGAACCCACAGCCTTCAAATTGAGTTATACCCCCACCCTTTTTATTTTTTATTTTGAGACAGACCCTTGCTAAATTACTAAACTGCCCAGGTGATCCTCCTACCTCAGCTTCCCAGAGTGCTGGGATTACAGGCACGCACCACGCCTGGCTTCCAAAATGTTCTCCAAACAACAAGGAAGAAAGTTTTGGAGACTAAAACCCTGAAACCACTGTATTCCGGCCATGATTTACACATACAATCTCTTTTGTAGACTTAACTGGCCTGTTTCCACATACCTTTATCTGAGGCTGCTCGTCTAGCATATTCAAGCAGGAGGTGCTCTGGTTCCCATGGTAATATTTTTCCTTTCTTCTTCCCACGTCTTCTTTTAAAGTGACGGGCCAGAAAAATCACAGATATAGCACTCACTGCAGTTACCACAAATAACTTTTTAGCTACTGGCGAAAATTTAATCTGGAAAAGACACATTTAGTTTAAAAAAAAAAATCTCTTTTTCACTTTATTCACTAAGAATTAAGGCATTTAAAAACCATTTATTTTTAATCTACCCTATTTGTAAATATTTCAAAAATACCATGAGTTTATTTTCCAATGATAGCCCAGTTTGATTTTTCTTTAAAAACATTTTAACATAATAATTGGGCCAGGCGTGTAGTTCAGAGATAAAGCACCTGCATAATATACATGAGACCTTGTTCTCATCCCCAGCACTCAATAAATGTAATAATTTATTATGTGGTGTTCTGAAGTTCTCAAGTAAACAATATTATCTCCTCAAAATGGGAGAACAAAACAATTCAATTTGATGAATGTTGTTTGAGCAATAACAATGAACATAATTAAATCTTCTTAGTCATGGTACTTTTTAATTCTAGAAATCACTGGCCAGGTGTGGTGGCACATGCCTGTAATTCCAGCACTCGGGAGGCTGAGGCAGGAGGATTGTGGTGAGTCAAGACCAGTCGGGGCTACACAATGAGCTCAAGGCCAGCCTGAACTGCATAGCGAGAACCTGTCTCAACACGACAAAAAAAAAAATTCTAGAAATCATTAAATCAGACTTTTAAACTGAGCCATTTTTTTAAACCTGGAAGTTAATTTCTAAACACCACATAAACAAGCCATTCATTCCTGAATCATTCCACAAATATTTACGCAGTGTGTCACGAAGTCTCAGGCACGAGCTGCGCACCGAAACCTTGCTGTAACTGTGAGCTCCAAGCCCAGCGGCCCCTCAGACCAGGAAGCCACGGCTCGGGGGGCCTCCTTCCCTCAGGCAGCACCACAACAGCAGAGAGACAGCCCGCAAGAATCAGAACCCAGGGTGACAGGCACAGGTACACCAGGACTGGGCGCTGACAGCCCAGCAGGGAACCCTTAACCTTCCCTCCGGCAAACACCGCCACCTTCACCTGTGATGCAGTAAAACCATCAAAAATGCCCACAGACAGCTGGGAAGGGGCTGCCGCCACCTTCCAGCACAAGAGCAGCCGACAAATGGCCAAGTTCTCAGTTTTCTTGAATCCAGATCATCCAGACAGGAAATAACGGAGAAACAGAAGTATTAAATTGTACCACCTTTAGCTAGATGCCCAAAGAGATACGTGTTCGCCTCCACTGTCACTGCAACACCCCAGACGATCAACGTACCAAGGAAAAGACGGGCTCACAGGCACAGACGCATCAGTCCATGATCACTGGCCCTGCTGCTGTGCGTCACCTGGCAGAATACGGTGGAGCAACGCCACTGCCTCATGGCCAGGAAGAGGAACAAGCACAAGCTGGTCCCACATCCCCTTCAAGGGCACTCAGCCCCTCAATGACCTAAAGACCTCCCATGAGCTCAGGAGACTGAGACAAGAGGATCAGCAGGAGTTTGAGGCCAGCCTGGGTCACATAGTGAGTTCGAGACCAGCCTGAACTACACAGCAGGACCCAGTCAGAAGACCAAACCAAACCAACTAAAACCAACCAAAAAGCCCCAACACTGAACAATGTTTTGATGAAATATATTTCAATGTAACAAAGGCCATATATAATAAACCAACAGCTAACATTACACTGGACAGAAAGCTTCTAACAGTCTATAACAAGGTAGGAACGCCACTTTCTGCACCTTTTGCTCAACATAGAAGTCCCAGCCAGTCATTACACAAGAGCAAGAAAGGGCATCCAAAGTAGAAAAGAGGACATCAGACTACCACTGTTTGCAGACAACACGATCTTACAGAGACAGACCCCCAAACACTTCACCAAAAGTATTAGAACTAATAATTCAATAAAGAGTCAGGATATAAAAGTCTGCAGTCCTGGTATACATCAGTAGCTGATTATCCAAAATAAAAAAATGAAGAAAGCAATACCCTTTATGGTAGCTCAAAAAGAAAAAACCAAAAAAAACTAGGATCCTTATTCTTTTTTTTTTTTTTTTCCATACTAGGAATCAAACTCAGGACCTTGCACTTGCCAGGCAGGCACTTGTGCCCTGAGCTATATCCCCACCCCCCAGGGGGAAAAAAAAAAAACTAAGAATAAATTTAACCAAAGGAAAAGATCTCTAAAATGAAACCTATAAAACATTGATTTAAACAATTTGAAGAGAACACATGCATATATAAAAATGGAAAAACAAATCATGGTTCACAGGCTGAACAAATAAATACTGTTAAAATAGCCACACTACCCATAGCAATCTACAGAGTCAATGCAATCCCAATCAAAAGACCAATGACATGCTCACAGAACTAGAAAACAATCCTGAAATTTCTATGGAAACAAAAGAACTCATATGGTCCCAGCAAACTTGAACAAAAAGAACAAAGCAATAGGCATTATGCTAAGTATACTACAAAGCTATAATCATCAAAACAGCAAGACATCAGCACAAAGGTTGACAAGTAGAGACCAACAGAACAGAACAGAGAACCTAAACCCACTCATCCACAGCTAAATGATTTTTACTGATAGTGCTAAGAACACACAGTGGAGAAACGCAGTATTCCAATAAATACTGCCAGGCAAGTCATGTCAAATATCAGCGAGAAAAGGTTTAATCCATTTTAACCTGAAACTATGAAAAGACTAGAAGAAAACATATGGGAAATGCTTTAGGACACCAAAATGGATGAAGATTTTTTGGACAAAGCATGCAATGCACAAAACAAGCAAAAACAGGCAAATGCGTCAAACTAAAAAGCTTGTACACAGCAATAAAGGAAATGACAACCTACAGAATTGGAGAAAATATTTGAAAGCTAACATCTGACAAAAGCTCAATATCCACAAACATAATGAACTCAAAAAAACTCAGTAGCGAAAAAAAAAAAAATCAAGTTATTTGATCAAAAATGGAGAAGAGACCCAGCGCACGGGGAGCCTCGGGCGGGGAGCGCCAGTTTTTTGGGTCTTTGGACTGGCGACTCACTCCCGGCCTCGTGGTTCCCCGGAAGGAGGGCTTCCGGCGCACAGGGAGCTGTGGGTGGGGAGCGCCAGCCTTTTGGCTGGCTAGCTTCCTGCCTGCTGGCTCCCGGAGGGTGGGCCCCCAGCTCATGGGGAGCCATGCAGCGGCGAGCGCTGTTGCGCACCGGCCCTTAGGCCAGCCGCCGCTGCTCAATTGGGATCTATCATGACACAGAGAAACAGTGACACAATTGGACCACCATGCACCAACTGCAGTTGCCCACCCACGGATGTGTGTGAATCACTGAAACTTTGAACAACCCCTGGGAATACATGCCATACAACGGGCCACTCTTGCTCCTGCCATTGGGAACCAGAAATGTCCAGAGCCAGCGGAGGAGCAGCTGCTGAACAAGGACTCAGAGAACATGAGAATGCAGACTAAGCCCACGGAGTCAGAGGTCCAGTGGACTGGGGTCACGAGAGCCGCTTGGAAGCTGTAAACCAGGAGGACCTTGCACAATACCTGCAGAGACTCATTGGAAGCCATTCTTCCCCTGACAGTACAGGCTCTGGAGAAGTCTGCAACAGGATTCCTGCTGCCTGTGCTGACAGTTGGGGAGAGGACACTAACTGGTTGTGGGGTCCCAAAGCAATGGGAAGCTGGAGAGAAAAAGCTACAAAGAATGGCTTTCACCCCAGATAGCTCACTTGAGATGTTAGTAAGAATTGCCTCCTCAGTATTCTATAGCCATGATGAGGAGGAGGCCAAGGAGAGAAAACAAAGAGACCGAGAAAAAGCAGCTGCTTTTGCTGCACCACTAAGAGAAACAGATCCCAGGTCTGATTCCTGGGGCTCCAAGAAGAACTCGACAACTGCATTCCTCTGCTACCACTGTTAAAAGCCAGGCCACCTCAAGAGGAACTGCCCTAAGAGGCCCCATGGGCCATGCCCTGGATGCAAAGGAGACCACTGGAGATCGGTCTGCCCTCTGAGGTGGAGGCCCCAGAGCTCAGACCCATGCTACCAGTTACTCCAACAGGAATGAGAGGGCTTGGGGCATGGTCTGCCTTCTCCCTCTGGCCAGACCGTCATCTCCATCGAGGAGCCCTGGGTAATCATGACTATGGAGGAACAAGAAAACAGCCTGTTGCTAGACACAGGTGCAAGTCTCTCAGTCCTTCTTTTCAATCCTGGCCTTCCTTCCAGCCATCATACCTCAGGGAAAGGAGTCACTGGTGAGGAGGTAATATGCTATTTTTGACAACCCTTAGGCTATAACTACTTATTAGATCCTTCTTGCATATCTCTGTCTTCCTGAGAAACCACTTTGAAGATACCACCACGTATTACAGCAACCATTGATATTTTCCTACTAATCTATCCATAACTGTGTTAAGTTTGTAATGTTCCTATCCTATTTCATAATGTATGTTTATTATTATGTGTTTCCTACAACAACCATTGAGAATAGTTAATGATTTTTCAATAGGTCACTCATGTATAGCTCTATTTATTTTCTTTAGAAGCCACTTTGAAGATACCAAAGTATAGCACAACAACTCTTGATAATCTCCTACCTCTTTTGTGTGTAACTCACTATTATTTGTCTATTTGTTTTCCTGAGAAACTATTTTGTAGATAATAATATGTAAAACGATAACCATTGATAATTTCCTACCATTTTGTCTGTAATTTGCTAAGTCCCCCCTATTATTATGTTATCCTTCTTTTATTCTTTAAAATAAAAAAAAAAAAAATGGACAAGAGAGGGGGTTATATAGCTCACTGGTAGGATAAAAGACCCTGGGTTCAACTCTCAACCACCACCCAAAAAAAAAAAAGACAATCAACCTAAATAGATACTCTCCATAGAAGACACACAAATAGCTGATAGGTATAGGAAAAAATGCTCAGTGTCACTAAGCATCAGGGAGTGAAAAGAAAACCCATGAATTGGGAAAAAATTTTAGCTAACTCTCCCACAGAGAAAGGACTTCTATCTAGAACATAAAGAATTTAAAAAAAAACAAAAAAAATCAGGCCCCCAAAA